TGTCATCTCATGCAAGTTCATCCTCTTGTCCTTGTGGTGCCTGATGAGTTCACGACGTAGTGGATCCACTTGCCAATAGTCACCAGTCACCAAAGCTTCTTCTTCATGAACATCTTGTTTGACAGAAATCTGGCTGTACTCATAGTGATCGTGTTGTGAAAAGAAACTCTTGACTTGAGGAGTCTTGAAATGAACTTGGCTCATGTACCATGCTACATCTTGTAGGTCGAGAATGAGATGAGTGCTAATGGCTGTCCTCAAAACCATTTTTCTCATGCCAATACGTGCACATGACAAATAAGCCTTCTCTGGAGTAAGTTCGAATTGAAATCCAAGGTTTCTCATCTGTGGAAGTGACATCAACAATGGGACATCACCTTCTTCGACAATGTCGAATTCTGTAAACTGAGTGTTCCATCCATGATCATACATGAATATCACGAGCTTCTCAGTACATTTTGATTGTTGTGAATTTGCAAAGAAGAATCTTGAACTTGTTGGCTGAATTTCATACCAGGGTCCACTGTTGGGATGTGAGTCAACATATCTGCAAAATGCTTCAACTGCTCGTCGAGAGCCCATAGCTCTTGTGCATCCAAGATCCAGAATACACACAGTTGGTGGTGCAGAATTCTCTGTGTGAAAAGCTAGTCCATTCTCACATGCCAGATCAGTCTGTACAGTATGAAATGAAAAAGCACTCTGCTCTGATGGTTCCTCTATCTCTGTAGAGCATCCATGTGAAAACAATGTTGTGCCTTTTGCCAATGGCTTCCATGAAGCCTCACCTTCTTGAAGACCAACTTGCCTGGGCACACGAGCTGGACGTCGTTGTACACCTTGTCGAAGTGCATCAACTTCTCCACCCAGAACAGGGAATCTTTTCATTTCCCTTCTGTTTTGATGTGCTGTTGCATCACGTTGGTTCTGTCCTCCACGACGAGTGCGTCGTTGTACTTCTTGTTGTTCATACGTGGATGTCAAAACATCAACACGTGCTGGCTCTGTCTCTGCAACATCAACACGTAATGGGTCAGTTCTTCCAAATGCAAAGAAACCATGACCAGAACTTGATGCAGCAGAAGAATAATGAGCTTGTTGGGTTTGTTGATTCTGTATGGCAGGAACTGATGTGGTCTGAGGTTGAACATAGTTCGACTTGCCTTTTCCATCTCCTGGCTTTCCTCCTTTGCCATCATCATCCTTGCCTTTCTTGCCTTTCTTTCCTTTTCCTTTTCCTTTCCTCTGGAAGTATCCATACTCATCCATGTAGTATGAATCATCATAGGCCCAATAGCCTTCATTCCAGGTTTGATCATCGGCCCAATAGCCGTCATAGTTTTCATTCCATTCATCTTCTTGCCATTCATCTTCATAACCTTCTTCACTCACCATGTGAGCACGGCCTTTTTTCCTTCCTTTTCCTCGGCCTTTTCCTTTTCTTGATTTGAAGAACCTTCGTCCTCCTCTGCCTTTTCCTTTTCCTTTTCTCTTTCCTTTACCTTTGCCTCGTCTGATGTATTTGCCTTGGAACCTTCTCTGATACCATGTGAAGGTGGCGTCATCATAAACCCAGAAAACATCTTCTAAAGCATCCAGGAATCCTTCTGCGCCGTCTTCTTCATCTTCGGCCCAATAGCCGTCGGTTCCTTCTAATTCACCTTCATCCAGTACGAGGAAAGATCTTCCCTGTGCCATGCCAGAGGGTTGCATCAATGGATTGTCAACTGCTGTTTTGGTAGTGCAAAACATTTCCAAAAACAGGTCACGTAGTTCTTGAATGTTGTATTGATCGAGGGTTCGTCCACGATGTGTCATGATACTTGTGAGTGTATTTCTCTGATCTTGACTCAGGTCGGCTAGACTTACAAAAATCAATGCTAGCAAATTTTCACCCAGTGGGAATGCTTGTCTTTGTACTTGTCTACGCTGCTCATTGTACTGTCTGAATGCCACTAATGCCAGTTCATCTGACCAAGGAACAGGTACATGAGGGGCTGCTCCTGAGGCTGCTGCTACATCAGCTCTTTCTTGTTGATCTCGATCATGTTCTTGTCGTTTTTGTGTCACAAACAGGATTGCTTCAGGACTAGTCACTGTTGCTTCTGGAAGTAAATCCATCCAAGACTCAATAAGTCTATTGCCAGTGAGTTGAAATCTAGTCATCCACTTCTGAAGATCCATGGTTCCTCTGTTGAACTTCATGAACTGCATGAAACGGTATAAGAACACGTTCTGGGCACCTTTGATGAAATGAGGTCGTAGAAATCTTTTGAAATAATTCACTCCTTCTTGGGGATCCCTGAGCATCTCTCTATCCAATAGTCTCTTGTATTGTTGAGCATCTCCTTCCAGTCGATTGCGCAAGGCTGGACCACGTTTCTCTGGTTCTAACTCCGTAATGTCACACCAGTCATCGATTGCATCCTCAAAAGCAAAGAAGCTGGTTCTCCCATCATATGCTGGAGCTACCTTTGTGGTCATTTGTTGCGTCATATGAATCTGTGTCTGCTGGGGTGCTCTTCTCATTGCATAAGAGTCATATTGGTTCCATTCATTTGCATCGACAATGTCGAAGTCATCATCATCATCATAGCCATGGCTTGCCATTGCTTGGGCTCTACCTGGAGCTCACCCTCAATGAGGGATCACAGCTCCGCTACCACTTGAAGAGGGGCCCTAGCGTCTACTTCAAGATCAGCTAAGGCGTCTTCCCCAATGACAGCACTCTTTTACTCTCAGCCTGTTGCCGGTCAGGGCTTGTCTACAGGGTTACTCTATATACCTCTTGAGCCTTGAAGGGCGCATATAAATGTGCTCAATACTCATGCATGTACCTATGTAGGTATTAGGTCGAAACAAAAACAAGGGCGCAGCGCCTCCCCCCAAAGCAGAATGAAAGCACCTCTTCTCACATGTAACGCTGTCAGCTTTCAAGAGAAGGTTAGTTCGCAAAAATGCCAGCTGCGGACGATGGTCATGGTTAGCATTCACACCATCATGTTCACCACATCATCATGCCAACCCCAACTAGTGTATTAACGAGCTTGGGTTTAAATATAAAAAAGCGGGAGGGGGGGATTGGGGGGAGGGCACAGCGCCTCCCCCCAAAGCAGAATGAAAGCACCTCTTCTCACATGTAACGCTGTCTGTTTTCAAGAGAAGATAAGTAATGTGATACTCAGGGATGTAAATACTGTGCAAAATGCATCTTACATGACAAGTCACGTATTTACAGATGCGGAAGCTTGGGTTTAGATAAAAAGCGGTTAGGGGGGTTGGGGGTAATGCTCGCAACGGTTTGGAACTTGAATTTGGCATCCTTTTGCATGGTATTTGCCACATTGGGCATGTTCACCTTCCATTTCGCATGGGATTTCCTACATGTGGGCATGTTCACCTTCCATTTTGCATGGGATTGGCCACATTTGGGCATGTTCACCTTCCATTTTGCATGGGATTTCCTGCATGTGGGCATGTTCACCTTCCATTTTGTATGGTATTTGCCACATTTGGGCATGTTCACCTTCCATTTTGCATGGGGTTTCCTACATGTGGGCGTGTTCACCTTCCATTTTGCATGGGATTGGCCACATTTTGGCATGTTCACCTTCCATTTTGCATGGGATTTGCTACATGTCGGCGTGTTCACCTTCCATTTTGTATGGGATTTGCTACACGTTGGCATGTTCACCCGTCCCTTTTGCATGGGATTTGCTACATGTGGGCGTGTTCACCTTCCATTTTGTATGGGATTTGCTACATGTTGGCTGTTGGCATGTTCACCGTCCATTTTGCATGGGATTTGCTACATGTGGGCGTGTTCACCTTCCATTTTGTATGGGATTTGCTACATGTTGGCACGTTCACCGTCCATTTTGCATGGGATTTTCTACATGTGAGCATGTTCACCACATCATCATGCCAACCCCAGGAAAAGCAGCAAAAGCAGAGAAGCAAAGAAACAGGAAAAGCAAAGCAAAAAAGCAGAAAAGCAGAGAAGCAGAGAAGCAGGAGAAGCAGAAAAGCAAAAAAGCAGAGAAGCAGGAAAAGCAGGAAAGCAGAAAAGCAGGCAAAGCAGAGAAGCAAAGAAACAGGAAATGCAGAAAAGCAAAAAAGCAGAAAAGCAGAGAAGCAGAGAAGCAGGAGAAGCAGCAGAAGCAGAAAAGCAAAAAAGCAGAAAAGCAGAGAAGCAGAGAAGCAGGAAAAGCAGGAAAGCAGAGAAGCAGAGAAGCAGGAAAAGCAGGAAAGCAGAAAAGCAGAGAAGCAGGAAAAGCAGGAACAGCAGAGAAGCAGGCATCCAAAAAAAAACTATACCGACTATACCTGATAAAAAAAAAAATAGCCCTCCTTTATCAAATCGTTTGCGACAGAACCTCTTCCCTTGCAATCACCACGGTTGCACAAACGGCGTTATTCAATTTGGTTACAGTATATCATCAAGCGACAGAAGTGAAACGGGCAAAAGTGCGATCATGCAACAGTCAGAGGGGAGCGGGGCCTTCGTTTCCATGTACAGATAAACAGGTAAACAGGTGGGAATCCAGTCATGTCGCCAAGATGGCAATTCGTTGACAATCGTTGATACTCATTGTGATTTTGCCATTGAGAACTACCCGTGAGAGTGCGACCGCTATCGTGTCAGGAATCAACACACGGAGGTGTTCAGTCACATGTCATGCCTGTTGAAGGATTTGTATATATAATGATGTTTGAACGTGTTTCACTGCATTTCTGGTGCGTATCAAATGCATAGCCGTGAAGCAGCACCGCCACGCCAATACCCAGTAAAGGTCCCAAGCAAAGTGTTCCGATGAAGGCTGCCTAAGCTCAGAACTTCTTGAAAGTGTCATGGAAACGGGGTGCCGTAAGAGTTGTCGAGTGAGCTGTCAGTCTTGGTGACAAGAACAAAAAAATACAAAAAGGCCGCTTCTAAATGCACCTGCCAACATCTGCCTACTCACAAATACAGCTGCCCAGCAGGGCAACACCCCTGATGCTCAAAATGCCTCAAAACTGAGCGAGTGGCCATCCACATCGCAAAGTCGCTCTTTTTCACGTGGAACCTCAACAAACGGAAACTGTACAACTCAGTCTGTCTAGAGTTGCATGTCTTTCAGGCTTCAAGGAACTTTGGATCAGCTGTGTAAACTGAGCTACGTGAATTTATGGAGCCTCGCTCTTTTTGCTCTTCAGTTGCGCAGCACCTCTGAAATGCTTGGAAGCTAAGAACAGCACAAGCTGCGTGCCACATCGCAAGCAATCAGTTTCGACACTGAGCCTGCAGGACACTTTGCACTCAAGTTGATGCAATTGTCAAATGATTTGTGATGGACTGCATTGAAACATCCCTACAGAATCCTAAAGATCTTTTCAAAGCGTCTGCTTCCCGCTCAGAGTTTCAGGCTCACGACAATTGCGGCCAGCACAAATTTGGGGAGGTAGTAGAAAAGCCTTGGAACATCTTGGAACCAGTTCGAGTGCTCAAGGCGTGATCTCACGGCCCATGGATGCCCATGGTCCAATTCAATTTTTGAGTTTTCTGACTTTGTTGAATACCTGCTGAATCCCTACCAAAAAAACTTTACGGCAGCTGGATTTGTGAAAGATTCATATGAGACCGTCCATGCTTTGTAGGATCGATTCAGTTGAGAATCTGATAGAATCTCTGAAATTTGGGCTTCCAGGCGCTAGGGCCCTAGGGATGAGTCACACTTGCAGTTCCATACAACACGCCCCCTGTGGGAAACCATGATATTGCCATACGCACGGCACACGGTTTCGAATCAGTCCGGATGCATGACTTGATCTTGCCTGTCGCGTTGCGTCATATCGTGTCAACATTTGTCAACAATCGAATCATATATATATATAATATATATAATATAATATATATATATATCATATTGAATCTGTTCTAGCGAGATTTCCCACTCAGCATGTGGCGGTAGAGTCCGCCAGCCTTTTAGCCGGGCACCATCTCAACTTTGTCACTGCTGGCATTTGATAACTTGCAGCCTGTCTGATTAGTGATCACACTGACTACTTCTTCTGCAAGTTCGTCTTTTGTCACTGCGAGTTCATATATACTCAGCTCGACATGAAGGCTTGAAGGCCAGTTTGAGAGTAGATGGTCACTATGGCATTGAAGGACTCAAGGTGCACCTTCAGAGTTCAGTCCGATGAACAAAGCCAAATAAGCAAAACCAAAAACAGCTCCATACCCAATAAATTTCAGCGTTGGAGTGATCATGTCCTTCTCAGAATCTTCTTCACTAGGAGGGTTGGTCAACATTCCTGCGTAATACGACAAAGGCTTTGTGTCTGTATTCGATGGGTTCGATGGGTCTACTTCCGCATCTGTCCCCGTGACCTTCGCCATCGGCATGGGCGACTTCGGAAAAGTCTCTGAATCAGTGGCCTCAGTGGCCTTGCTTTGCACCTGTCCTCGAAGAGCGGATGTTGTGGATGTCGTGTCCTTGAACTGCACAAAGGTCTCCGCAAAGATGTGAACCGCTAGAGCTGCGAGGAAAGCCAAGACTTTGCGCCGTCTCAGAGAGTCAATAGGCATGGCAGCTCAGCAACCGGATTGGCTAAAAGGAATGGATTCGTCGGCTTGGTTTGAGCTTGCAGCTTGCTAGGTTACAACTATAGGCCTGTAGGCACGAGTCTGACAGTTTCCAAGTTTCCAAATGACAAAAATTGCAGGGGTATTCAAATCTGTAATTACAGTACAACTTGTATGCCATTCTGTTTGGATATTTAAGATGTATAGGATCTAGGAGTATAAAGAATCACACTTGCCTGTGCGCCAGTACCAGAAGGAAATTAAACAGTAGAGATGGGTCGTGAAAGCACAGTGCACCTGTGACACAGGAAACAACCCGATACAAAGATTAGTCCAAATTAAAAGCAAGCGAATGAAACAAATGCTCTCAAACATGTCTCAGACCTCTGACTTTGTGATCCTAGCTGCTGAATTGTATACTGCAGCACCAAAGAGTAGCAAAGAATTCCATTAAAGTTCGCTGTGATGCATATGGTGACAGCAAGTCAAGTAGCATGGAAGGCAGCAACGAGGGATGCAGTCGCATTAAAAAGTATCAGTTCTGGGAAGCTTAAAGATATTCTGGGACTGATGTTGTTGCTGCGCAATTGATCAAAATAGCTCCCAGATGAACCAGATGAAGAATATTGAAGAACCAAGTACAGGCTGTACAGGGGTGTCTTTGTAGCATAGAGGTGCGCATGCATGTTGAAGATTGCAATTGCACCCATGTGAGTTGTATCTGTGCGAATGCGAATTCAGACTCAATATTTTTGGGGCTTGGTGATAGTGGACTTTTGCTTACCTGTTGGACATTGAGAATTCTATATTACTCCAAAGTAGTTGGTGGTGGTGCCCGTACAAATCGCTAAGGATGCCGCAGGTATTTTCACATCCACTTTTGGTCCTTGGATCTGGAAGCTCTTTGGTCTGAGTTCCCCACTGTGTTAGGTACAGGAGCGCCATGAGTGATAACGCAACTGGCAGCGAATGGAGCCAGTCCACAGGTTTTCTGCAGAGAGAATACATGATCTTCTTCCAGGAGGCTGAATGCAAAGACAGGAAATGCACAAGATGGTTATCCCAGGCATGTACCTGTGAAAAAAGACTTCACTGTTCAAGCACAAACGCAACACAGAACTACTATATAAAAGAGAAGGAAATGTTCTTGCAAAATGAAGGAATGCTACGTACAATGCCGACATGTTTGGCCGCAGGTGGCCCGCCTGCAACTAAGCCCGAAAGCTGAGACACTCCGCCACTACTGCTGCAAACAGCACTTCGCGAGAAACTTCCAGAAGCCTCAGCACCAAGAAATACCCGGAACCCGGTATGGTCCCTATATCTGCAACACTTCATTTCAGAACCTGACGATTCGGAAACGATGATTCGGCAATGCTTGGTTCAAGAGCTTTCAGAACAAAAGCAAAAATCCTGAAGCGGACACCACCCAAACCACCCCTCCCAAACCCTGAAAGCCGAACCTAACCCAAATCTAAACCTTGAAGTGAAACTGCTAGATCTTCAAAAAGTCCAAGCATTGTACTAGTACTCCTTTGCAAATTCCAAGTACCAGTCAGACAGTGAATCATGGACCAGCACAGCATTGCATGTCCTATACAGCAAAGGTGCTGGATAAGATGAGCACATTGACCCAAAGATGTTCGAAAAGCCAAGTGCCAGCAGCTCCTGGCTGGATGATAGTTCCTCACCTGAGTGCTCGTCACTCAATTTCAAAATATTTCAAATATCCTTTGAGCTAGCACCACCTGGACAAAGCACAAAGCGGCCCAAAAAAAGTGAATCAGCGCATGAAGTCCAAAGGTGAAAAGGGCAAACCTGCTTATTTTTTTGGGCGTCTTCCACACAGGGACCTCGAATTGAAAACCTGTTCCCTAGCATCGGAACATTCATGCAGCTTGAAGTGAAAACTGTCCGGTCTGAGGTTACAACAGAAAGTGAATCTGAAACGGTTGGAGAGGATTCAAAAAAAGCGGAACCAAATGATGACATCGCTCAGGATGATCAAAGGGGTAGCTGGTCAGCCTGAAACTGGCGTAGAGTTCCATGGACAGTTTTTAGTTTTATCTGGTGATCCTCCTGTTCCCAGTCAACCTTCACTTGTTTTGACGCCGCCAAATTGGATATAATATATAGAAAACCAAATGACCAGTTGGAGACTACGACATGCAATCCCTGACACCTCATGCCCCCTTCCTCCAGTCCACTTGAACAACCTAAACCTCACATGCAAGTCCTAGCCTTGGATTCAAAACAAATTCTATATAGCTATCATTCTGTATGTGTTGTCAAGATTAAATGCATTGTTCCAGTCACAAAATGATCTGAAGTTTTATCGCCAAATCTTTCTTGTTCAAAGAGCGTTACAAGTACAGATCCTTGTTCTATAAAAGTTTCCCCTTAGTTCAGGTCCATGATTCCTCTTGTCCCGATGATGCAACTGCGGCAAGCATGATTTCAAACCAAACCTCATTCGAACGTGGGAGATACCCACAGACCTGGAACCGAAAAACTGTTTGGCAGTCAACTGGAAGCCAGCTCATGATGGTCATGTGTGCTGATTTGTGCTGCATGCCACCATCGCTTCATTTTCGGTTGAGTGACCCTGCTGCTTTGCCAAGTTCTGCGCAGTTGCAAATGCTTCCAGAAAACCTGCGAACCAAGCTGCGACTTACACAGCCCAACGGCAGAAACAAGAAGTACCCTCTTTTGCAAACCAGCTCATGTCAGATTCTTGCTGCTCAGTGTGTTGTTGTCTCGACACTCAAAATACTCTCAAAATCTACTGTGAGATGACTGATGACTGGGGTTGTCCCTTATATTGCCACATCAAAAGAGCATGCGGAGGCTTCTGGTTGTTCTTCTGTCACTTTCTCTTTCCCGCCGAGTTTGTGCCGGTCAGATCCGACATGGCTGTTGTAGAACGATCCACCGCACACCCCGTGCCTATAAGGGCAATAGTAGCCGAGAGCGGTAAACTTCCTCTCACATCTTGCCAAGTCCATCTTGAG